CAATTCTTTTGTTAAACATTTTTTTAAATGCAAAATCAATCTTTTATATTTATGCAAACTAGTTGTAAGACTTCCCTCATTCAAACACTTGCTGGGTTCTGCTGCCTGCGCCATACTTTGGACTTCACTGAAAACATTAGATATAGAATAACCATCCACTAGCAGCCGTCGAGCAATGTAGTCTTTCCGCATAGGGGTATCCAGCTTCAAAAACTGAGAGATGATCTCTGAGATGCTTAGCTGTCCTTCTTGCCGTGACTGTAAATATACAATATAACTATTATAAAAATACATAAGGAATGTCATGATGGAATTAGGTGCTTTCACTTGTAATAAACACAATTATACTCTGTTTTAGATTAGATTTTATATGCTTTGTTCTAAAAAAAAATGTTACATTCAGTGCCAGAATTTGTGAAATTCGTGATCAAGATATAAGCAGGTAAAAATATCTCCAACATAAAATTATGTAAGCTCTAAATAATGACAAACACATGAAAAAATGGTACAATGTTTGTGGATGTTTAAAAAGTAACTCACATAACATTGTCAATTTACTAAGCATCCTAAGTTAATTACCAAAGAATCATCTTACCAATGATGGCCTAAATTAATTATTGAAATTTGGGGGTGATCAGGCAAAAATATCTAAAACAGAGAATAAGAAGGGCTCTAAATAATGACAGATGCATGAACAAATGCTACAATGGTTGTAGATTTGTAAAAAAAATTCTTAAAATAACGTTAGCAAATTTAATAAATATTTTAAGTTTATTTTAAGTTAAATATAAAGCGGGAAAAACGGTCTCCTAGTGCAAACATATTGAATTGAAAGCGAAAACAGTGATGCCACTAAACAATTTTTTTAAACATCTACGCAGTTGCCAATGTTTGTGAAATTTCACACACTTATATAAAAATTAACGCAGAATTTAAAAATACAACAAACATTGCGGTAATCTGGCTAATTAAAAAGATATTTACGAAATTACTTACCGTTATAGTATTTAAAGGGGAAAAGGTGATGCCACTAAACAATTTTTTTAAACATCTGCGCATTTGCCAATGTTTGTGAAATTTCACACACTTATATAAAAATTAACGCAGAATTAAAAAATACAACACACATTGTGGTAATCTGGCTAATTAAAAAGATATTTACGAAATTACTTACCGTTATTCACTGCGTGCTGCCCAAAAAAAAAAATCGATTTATTTTATACGCGTCAAAACCATCTCAGGTCAAAGCCTGGCATCTCTCCAATAACTTCTAATAGCTTTTCCGATTTTATCTTTCACGTAAAGAGCACAGAAAAATAATTTCTCAATAACAGACAATTGGTTTTCAAATTTTCGGGTCGCAATCGCGTCTATAGTTACCGACGAAAATGTATAGCAAAATAAACGAAACAAAACGATCCATTGCTATACCTATTAGTAAGAATATGAGAAAAACACGTTGCAGCTCGATAGAAGAAAACACAGGGGAAACCTGATAGAAATAATTCTCACATCCGGTCACTGAGATTCCCAGAATTAAAGAAATAATTTGACGAGATGTGGAGGTCAGAGGTTGGCTGCATTAAATTGTAAAGGATAGGTGGACTTGGATCAAGATTGTTGTCAGTCTTTGCTGTACTGGGGTGGGGTGGGGTAGGGGATGAATAGAAGAAGGTGATATCTATGTAAAGGAGGAGGAGAAAGAGGAAGTGGAAGAGGAACAATGCAAAGTAGAAATGACCTGACTGGGAATTACTGCCCCTGTTACTTTCTGTCTTACCTTTCTTGAAATGTTATTGTTGTTATTGTTGTTGTTGTTCTTCTCCTTCTTCTTCTTCTTCTTCTTCTTCTTCTTCTTCTTCTTCTTCTTCTTCTTCTTCTTCTTCTTCTTCTTCTTCTTCTTCTTCTTCTTCTTCTTTGGCGTTCCTTAAAGAGGTAGCTGGCACATGTGTTGAAGTTTACAACTCAGCATAGATATCTGCACATTTCGAAATAAAACATCCCATCTTGGTAAATCTTGAATTAATCCTTTTTTAAGATATGCTAAAAAAACAAACATACCACACAATAAGTATTCATTTTCTTTCCAAAATGGGGCCCCGGGACATACACAGAGAAGAACCCCCACGTGAAGTTGAACTTCCAAAAGCACGGGACGCCGCGTCGACTCCAGTCATGGCAGTTTGCGAAGGAAATAACTTACGCCAATCCATCTAAAACATGTACATTGATTTTTTTCACGGCCGTTATGCAATGTTTATCATTGGCTCCAGAAGAGACAAACATTAATGATGTTCCCAAATTGACAACAACCATAGTTTGAACATGTTTTATCTCCTATTACCCAGCTGCTATTTAGGCCAGCCAATCTAGGGCTCTAATGTACACCGTTATTTTGTTTTCTAAGCTAATCGCGGACAACATCAGGCCCTAGCAGATTCGATTCTGGAATTTGTGAAACTAGAGGTTCCCAGACAATGAGGCGGTGGGTAGTAACTGGGGCCACGGGGGAACAGAAGAGAGTGGCGAGTGGAGAGAGGGAGAGAGAGAGAGAGAGAGAGAGAGAGAGAGAGAGAGAGAGAGAGAGAGAGAGAGAAAGAGAGAGAGAGAGAGAGAGAGAGAGAGAGAGAGAGAGAGAGAGAGAGAGAGAGAGAGAGAAGGATTTAACGTATTCAGTACCAAGCAACTCAATGCGATAAGTTGCTGCCAGTTTTTCTTTTTCTTCACAGCCACTTTTACCGCTCTGCGTGATGAAGGAGATATAAGGTTTTGAGTTTCTTCTTCTTCTTGTTCAGCCTTTGGAGCTCTTGAGTTTCATTGCTGCACATATCACCCGCATCCACTTATCTCTGTTGTTGGCAATCTCTTTCCAGTTGGTGACACCGAGTGTTTGTATGTCTGTCTGGATATTATCTCTCCACTGTTTTCTTGGTCCGCCTCGTAGTCTACGATCATTTAACTCCCTTGTGTATACAGTTTTTTTTTTCCACCTCTCTGTCATCTGACATTCACTCAATATGCCCTCGCCATTTCAGTCTATTAGCTCTTATAATACCAGTGGTCAATTGTTGTTTAAGCAGTTTATGAATTCCTGTTGTAGAGTTCCTCTGATGCTATATTTTCATTGTATTCTTGGTCAGCCTGGTGCTATACGCCTTTCTCCGCTTGTTTCGTGCATAACATGTATGGTAGGGTGGACAGGACATTCTTTCTTATTGGGCAAATCATTTGCTGCCATCGAAGGTAATTTACAATTGGTTGGAAGCCGGCTTTTTTACCCACATCAGACACCTCACTTCCATGGTTACTAATTGTTCTTTGCAAAAGATATTTCTTAATACTGACCAGGATTTCTTATGTTGCAAGAATATGGGTTGGTGGGTTGGTGGTGGTGGTGGTGTTGGGGAGGGGGGAGGGGTGAAGTAGGGGCTAGGTGTTTCAATACTTAGTATGCTTCTATTTTAATTTCTTTATCTATTTTCTCATCTTTAGTGAAAGTTGTACCCAGATACTGAAACTCAGATGACTGTTTAATGATTTTGCACACTATTGTTATATTTATTTTCGTCTGTTTCAATTTGCTGTATTAGCTCATTCTAGCCCACTTGTTATCTAAATTTCCATTGCCCCATACAGGTATTGTCCCATACAGGTGTTGTCCCATACATGTATTATTCCATACAGGTATTGTCCCATACAGGTATTGTCCCAGACAGGTATTGTCCCATCCAGGTATTGTCCCATTCAGGTATTGTCCCATACAGGTATTGTCCCATACAGGTATTGTCCCATACAGGTATTGTCTCATACAGGTATTTTCCCATACAGGTATTGTCCCATACAGGTATTGTCCCATACAGGTATTGTCCCATACAGGTATAGTCCCATACAGATATTGTCCCATACAGGTATTGTCCCATACAGGTATTGTCCCATACAGGTATTTTCCCATACAGGTATTGTCTCAACAGTTTGAGACACAGTCCATGAATCATTCTCGCAGTCTTTTTCTAAAAGTTTAACTAGACAAACTCTAACGGAAAGTTTTGGTAGTTCATTCACTTATGGACTCTGTTATTGCCCTGTAAAAGCTGTTTTGCGTGCACGTCCGTTTTACATATCCAGTTCATTCGTATGCAGTATGTTAGTTTTTCTTTAATCAGGCAAATACACTGCGAGTTTAAAAGGAATAACCACATTAAGCCCTTTTTTAAGACGTGCTTGTTTAAGGTCATGCGTCTATTCTTTCCCCCAAACGATCGATCTATATACAGACAGACAGACAGACAGACGGACGGACGGACGGACAGACGGACAGACGGACTGACAGACAGACAGACAGACAGACAGACAGACAGACAGACAGACAGACAGACAGACAGACAGACAGACAGACAGACAGACAGACAGACAGACAGACAGACAGACCAGACCAGACCAGACCAGACCAGACAGGACAGACCAGGCAGACCAGACAGACCAGACAGACCAGACAGACAGACAGACAGACAGACAGACAGACAGACAGACAGACAGACAGACAGACAGACAGTCAGACAGACAGACAGACAGACAGACAGACAGACAGGTAGATTCATACATATATACATCGATGGATAATAATCAGTAATAGATAAACTGATAAATAATCAGTAATAGATTAACTGATAAATAATCAGTAATAGATAAACTGATAAATAATCAGTAATAGATAAACTGATAAATTAGATTACATTAGATAGATCACATCTACTGCAGTGTCTTCACTACAGAGAGACATCAGTATGCTGCTTTGTTCGATGCCAAGGTATTTATAAATATAAAGGTTAGCATTTTGTTTCTGTGTTCATTGGATAAACGAACCATTGCAAGAGTTAACGCCATTTTAATTGTAATAATAAATAAGCACCAGCTTGTAATGCTGCTCCTTGTGTTTCTGTCACAGGTCATGATCCCTGTCGCTTGTCATCGGTAAACCGGGACGTTCTTCTGATGAAGCAATGTCAAAACTGATGCTTACTCGAACCGGAACTACAGTGTTAAAAAACCGTCGGCGGTACAGCAGGAACAGGTGTCCACGACGCCAGTCGGCACCCACGGTGCTTCAGAGAGCACCAGGCGCAAGAAATAGTTCATCGCCAGGTATGTTTTGCTTGTATACAATTCATGTTCCCGTTGTTAGGGAATTCATACATTCATTCTTTCAATAGATTTCACAATTTATTGCCTGGAAAATTTCGCTGTATCTCGTCAGGGGCATACTATAGTAACAAGTACATAAATGAAGAAAGTGAATCCTTTATAACTGAAGTACAATTTCAACAACGATCAAACATGACTGCCTGTTTTTACCAGGGCAGCCGTAAAGACTGCACCATCCCTTTCTGAATACAGAGTTCCATAAGTATAAAATATAATCCATAAGTGCTCTGCCACCAGTACGGACAGCTGAAAAGGAATTGTCCGCCTGTGTCGCCGTCGGCACGAAACGCCATAGCTACAGTGACGTTCCTCAATTTACCCCATATGGTTAATACTGGTGCCCATTTCCTAGAGGCTGGGTGAACCCCTGGAATCGTCCGGTTTCGAACACCACCCATAGGCTGCAGCCAGTCGCAGCTAGATTTGAAAGCGAGTCTCCTATCGACTGCGCTAACACTGCCCCACACTCGGTGGATGAATTGGTCAACATCGCACCGGCCTTTTTTACTTCCCAGAACTTTACCCGGTACCCATTTAAGGCTGAGTCAACGTGGAAGCCAAGGTCATTTCTGGAAAAGTCTGGCTCTGAGCGAACTTGAACCGACGACCTCACGATCCGCAGTCAAGCTTCTTGTCCCTATACCACGTCAGCTCCTAAGAACAGGAGTCGTTAACGTTAACACATTCAGGATCATGGTTAGGGGAAGTTTGGAGCACTTACGGGTATGCCTCACGTGCAATGGGTATGGCTTTGAAGGTCACAATGGTTGGTTTATTTTCACAGTGATTAAAATATAATCAACAGATATAATTATATGTGATAAATGACTTCGCGGATATTATATCATTACAATCGAAGTCACTGCACATTAGCATTCCCATGCATGTTCAGTCTTCCTTAGCAGCAGCCACTCCAATGTATCTATTTAGGTTTTTTTCCGATGAAAACGTGGTCGTATTATCTCAAAGTTTGCACACACTCCACTATGCTTCACTCACACGTAACACAGTCGTTTTAATGTCAGAAATTCGTCATCATCCAACTTCAAGGATCTAAAATATTAAAATCTTCCTACATATAAAGTCACACATTTTTTTTCCAGTCTAATACATTATCACCCTTTCTCCATTCTTACTTTGCTGCTTTCTGAAATCAAAAACGATAGGTCAAAACTTTGTTGCGACTAAAGTGAGTCTAGGAGACAAAAAATATAAGATAATCGTGTTGTGTAACAGACTAATCAGGGGAGTTTTGGGGAATTTAGAATATCTAATCTCCTCATGGTAGATCAAATATTTATCTGTGGACCAAAAATGTTTCTGTCTACTAAGTAAATATATCTCGAGGAATCATAGAAGGGGAGTAGCGCGAAGACATATATTCAGGAGCAAAGTAAGAAGAATAAATATATTAAGGAGTTTAGCTTCTATTCTTCTTCTTCACTGTAGGCCCCAGCGGAACTTTTTGGCTGTTCATCCACCTCTAGACTTTAGACTTTTCCCAGAACCTGTGTTTGCGTGCACATCCAATTTATAGATCTGAGATATGCAGACTGTGGGTTCCTGCCTCTCAGGCAATTCCGACCTGGAAACCCCAATGTAGTCTTATGACATGCTTGTTGGGGAGGTAGTGGGTCTCTTTTTGTTTTCCCCACAATGGGTCCCCGAAACTCATACTGGAAAGGAATATTCCCAATACATGCATTCAACAGTAAGGTAAAACACTCCACCTCCACACACGTATATCTAACGTTGGGGTAGCACATCCTCATACATCTAGGAATGTGGACGGTAAAAGTATCTTTCCAGAGTTGTCATATTCCTGTAGTGTCAGTCATTTCTCCCTGCCATGATGTCAGTAATACATTTCTACAATATAATTCCAACAGGACCTTCTCCACCAGGACTATTCCACATTCCCGAATGTGCCCGGGTCACCGCCGAGTTGTGGCGAGCAAGATCGGATCCAATGCAGTGCCGATGTGACTCACTCAAAGCCAACGCCGATTACTTACGAGCCACTTCAGACATGCTCCGTTTAAAGTCGGATGCGCTTCGGTCAAAGTCGGAACAGATTTGCAGCATTAGTGGGAAAGACTCGTCACACCACGCAGCTATGTTGCTGCATTCAGAAGAGCTTAGATCTAAAGCAGAACAACTCCGTCGTGAATCTGACGCCATCAAAGCCAGAATGGAACTGATAAGGACAGAATCTGAAACCGCCTTCGTATTCCCGGATTTCTCGTCAAAGAATAACTGTGTGGCCACAAGTCCAGTAGTGTCATCCAGCAGCTTGCTGGTTCCAGGAACTGCTTCTAACGCGGAACCAATGGATGTCAAAGTGCTCGTGAGTATCTGATTTCGCAATTGTTGTTTGATTGTCTGCTCAGTGTAGCGGCTAAACTCTCGTCTGCGCATAGGAAGGTCATGGCTTCTGCAGTCCTGTTCCAGAACCTGAGTGTTGCGTGTGTTTCCGTTTGACATATTCGACTAATTTGTATGCAGACTGTTGATTCCTTGCCTCTCCAGAACTTCAAAGGAAGCTTCAAATTAGTCATTAGTCAATTAGTCAACACGCTTTTGTGTAGGCAGTTGGTCTATTCTTGTTTTCCCTATAATAGGGCCCCGGAACCCACACGGGGAGGTTATAATTGTGAGTAGGCTATGTGTGCCAAATAAAATGGCTTAATACTGCACACCACAAAGAGCCCTAAAAAGGACTCATGAAGTGTTGTTGCGATCAGAGGAGACAGACCCAAAAATTCTCCCGAGCGACAACGAAGTCGTATACCGACGAGCCAATGGTCGATCCGGTTGCCGATGTAGCTGCATGGGAGAAAAAGAGGCAAACTTTTAATCGGGTTGTAATTGGCCTCGTCTTTGGCTACTGAGGAAGAGGACAGATCATGTATGGGATAGTCCTGAATGCAGTAATGTGTGTTTTTATTTTATTCATGTATCTATACAAATGAGGCATCAGGCCCGAGAAAACCAATATCAAAGAATATGTAGAAACTGGAAATGTTGGGAGAGTGGTGGATAATGGGGGTGGGGGGGGGGAGGGGGGGGGGTTGTTAGGCCACATGAGTTTTTCAAAAACGTTGTAAGTCGTTGAGAAGAAGGCAGAGCGTGCGCGCACACACAGACACATGCACACACACTCACACACTCGCACCTAATTACACATATACAGACACGCAAACATACACATCCCACTACTTTATAAAATACCTTTTGTTTTGAAAGTATAGATCTATACACATACACACACACACGCACACACACACACACACACACACACACACACACACACATATATATATATATATATATATATATATATATATATATATATATATATATATATACCTAGTCGACTATATCTAAAATTTTTTGTTCAAGTATTCACACACACACATACACACACACAAACAGCCGGCTATTTATCAGTTTTAATTTGTTAAGTATTTCGCGCGCACACACACACACACACACACAAACAAACACACACAGACACACACACGTTGGAATTTACTACAAAAGTCAATTTATTCTCAGTTACCACCGATCACCGATATTGTTAAAACTTGCCCAGACATAAATTGTCTTTGGAATTTCGAAAAATCAAATAATTGGCGTTACAATGCTTTACATTGTCAGCAAGAACGAACGAGTAAGTAAATGTCACCCCACCAGGACATCACACAGAGCGGTAAACACCCGGTGACACAAAGTGCCACCATGAGGATAAGGATCACCTGTGTAGAGGTCCCAAAAACTGCGTTAAGCTTTAAGGCTATAATGCGGTCCCCGGCAAAAGCCTAAGTGTGGCTTCAAAATAACGAATCATTGCATCCCACGAGGGGAGCGACTTGAAGTATTGATGAGAATAAATGAACGAACTAGCGAACTTCTTTTTAAAAGGGTCAAGGACCATAAATTAACTTACACGTGGTTTCATTGTTTGGGGCACAGTTTTTATATTTCAGGTTTTTATATTTTGTTTTGATAGCTGTATGATTGGAGAATACTGCTTAAAGCAGATCTGTAGCTGTGAAAGAAAGCAATACTCATTTTAGAGTCCTTGACATATTTTTGAATTCATCTTGTAAATGCGGCTAAAACTCCAGTGGATATTGGTTTTGAAACGCTATGTTTTTTGTGCTGCGAAGTAACACATCTACTATAACAAATATATATATGTATATATTAGGGCTGTACCGATATTCGCTTCGGGGCCGAACAGTGGACCTAATAACTATTCGGTATTCGGCCGAATAGTTGCGGTCGGACCGAATACGAATAGTGGTTACCTTACATCCGTTTCTAGACTGGTGGAAAATGAAAAGATAGAAATTCCCCACTTTGGTTCAAGCGTTCGTTATCTGTGTGCACCACCCAGAGCGTACCAAGTGAACGTCTGTTTAGTGCAGCTGGAAATATCTTCAGTGAGACAAGAAGCTGCCTTAATGCTGACAACATGTAACGATTCGTTTTTATTTTGAAGCTAATACCGCTTTCATGGATTAACTAAGCTGTCAGTGACAATTCACAAGTTTAGTTACTTGTTATAAAACTAAGAATACTTTCATTCCTAGGTATTAGTTACCACAGACTGACTGACTGAAGGATGCAAAACATGAAATGTTTTTAAATGTTTACTATTCTTTACTACATTTTGTGAAGTAAAATGTCAGCGTACATTTGACATTATGAATGATTTTTTTTAGATCTATTTTTACACACTATTCGAAAGTGGAAGAATGGTCCTCAGTTTGAATAGTGGGAAGACAGAAGTAATAGTGGTATCAAAAAAAAAATAATTAATCCTAAATGTGTAATAAAAGTCAATGGTTTTATTTTAGGACAAGTACAGAAATTTAAGTATCTGGGCACATGGATAACATCAGATGGAAGATGCATTACTCAAATAAGAAACAGAATAGGACAGGCAAAAACTGCATTTTATAAAATGAAGAACATCTTATGCAATATATCTTTGTCATTGAAGGTTAGAAAAAGAATTATTGTTTGCTACATACATCCAGTTTTAACATATGGCTGTGAGTCCTGGGCAATCGGTAGGCAGTTCTCAGAGATGTGGTTTTACAGAAGAATGTTTAGAATACCTTGGACAGAAAACCAAAAAGTTTTAAAAGAGGCGGGAGCCCGAAGACAACTACTCACAGACATCAGAAGGAGACAGTCCTCATTTTCGGCCATGTTATAAGATGAGGGAAGATGGAACATGTTGTGACCACTAGAAAGATCTGTGGAAGGAGGGATAGAGAAAGACAACGAGAGAAGATTCTTGACAGTCTTGTTGCATGGCATGGAGGTGTGTCAGCACACGAACTAATACATGTTGCAGGCGATCGCAGATTGTGGCGAGGCATAATCACGCATGACAGTCGGCAAAGCACCTGATGATGATGATTCATTATTCGTATTCGTATTCGGCCGAATAGTTGGTCCAGCCATTCGTATTCTGCCGAATAGTAAAAATCACTATTCGGTACAGCCCTAATATATATATATATATATATATATATATATATATATATATATATATATATATATATATATATATATATATATATATATATAAATATGTATATATATATATATATATATATATATATATATATATATATATATATATATATATATATATATATATATATATTATTCCACGAGTTTCGGCTGGATGCTTCCCAAGTTTAGCACTTTTTTAAAGTCATCAAGTACCTTCTCTTGATATGCTAGAAAAAAAAAGGAGAATTTTGTTATTCAAACGATAGGATTGAATCCTAATATTTGCCTGCGTTGGCTGTATCATGGCCATGAATACCTTTAGAAGTGTTTGTTACTCAGTTCACTTTGCGCTCGGCAGAGCAAAAAATTGGCAGCTGCTGCGCTAAAATATACTAACAGATCTTCACTTGAGCGACCTTCAGCCCAGCAATGACCACACAATAAACACCCGATGACACAAGATGTCACGATTTGGATGAGTATAACCCGGTGCAAGTCATGGAAACCCCGTTCAGTCTTCACAAAGGCCAAGGTAAAGGACCCTTTTCCGCGCCTTTAGGCGTTTAGGGCATATAGGGCTAGGCCTATATTTAATAGACCAATCGGAACATGATAGGTGATGTGGTCAGCATCACACCGGCTGCCTTTACTTCCCGGGACTCGACCTGGTACCCACTCAAGGCTGGGTCGACCTAGGAGCCAAGTTTATTTTTGAAACAAGTTCGGCACCTCCAGTGAGCGAACCCACGACCTTCCGATCCGCTGCGAGCATCTAGCCGCTCCGCCACGGCGACTCCTAAAAGCTGAGGTGGGGCTTTAAAACAACAAAGTTAATCCCATATTTGGATAAAGACACACAATGCAGTCTTCACATGTCTATCACAATACGTTCTATAAACAGAACATTAGACAGTAAAGAGTAATGTGAGTAAACTTAAAATTAAAAAACAAAATGTAAGAGAACCACGCATAATAATGACTTGTCAAAGCTAATGTAATTAGAACCGTTCTTTTTTTGTAGTTCATAACTAGAACTAGATTATAATTATGTTCTTTATAAAGACATCCGGTTATCGCCATCAGCGCATCAACAAGGGTAGACAGTACCCATAATCACTTCCGTCTGGTCTATCTAGGCCGAGTGAACTTCACTTCAATTAATTTAGTGATAACCATCTTTTCTCAGCTTTCTCAGCCACAAGTATTCCACCAATTAACGAGGCTAAATTGAGTAGAAAAGCTTTGCCCTGAGGTATTAACTACAGGGCGAAGTGCCGATTAACCTTCCTCGGACTTGAGACAAACCACTGGCTTTGATTTGCTGCCAAATTGAACCCTAAAGGGAACTAACTACTTTAGTATTGATTTGTATGTCAGTTTTCTTTTTCACAAGTGTTTTCGTTAGTGTTGACAAAGTTTTGTCCGTGAAACATCACATTTGTTTTATCATTATAGAAATCCAACAAGGTAGCAAATAAGGCTGGAATTTATAACACAGAAAGGTCAGAATGAAGTTTCGATACATATGGTGTCCGATCAAACATAGAAGCTAATTTACACCAGGGATCGACTTCATCATCAATCAGCAAGTCATTGACAGAACGTCGCTCACGCCACGTACGTCTGAAAGTATATCTGTCTTAAGTCAGGTCTGTGATTTCATGGCCAATCCATCTTTAATGTCTTGTGTCCACGTTCACAGAGGTCTGCCTCTGCCTCGTTTTCTGAACACCATCACCCATCTCTAGGCCACCATGACGTTTAACATGGTTGCAGTATTGTCTGCTCGGTCCTTGGCTGTTGTCTAGGGGGTGTA